TTAGAGAAAAAGCTTTATTACAACACAGCAAGAATCATAAGCATTAGCATATTGTTTTATAGTTTCACATGCCTCCAAATATTATAGGGAGATATGACATGGGCCCATGTGGATGATAAGTGTGCAGAGAAATTGCATGGCAGGTAAGGAACCTTGAGCTTGAAGAAACTACCACTTTTGTAGTGACAGTAAACAAGTCTGCTGTTTGTCTGCAGGATGATGTCACTGTATCTCTCAAGATTTCTTGCCAAATATAAAAGCAAACCAGGGCCTTGCATTATTGACATGCCCTGAAAGAACATGTAAGGTTATTCAGGGCCCATGGTGGATTGTTGCTTTATGGAGGACGAGGGAGGCCAAAGTTGTCTCTGAGATAATTTCTCTTAAATAACTTTACTGAGGTACAGCTGGCATACAATACACAGTACATACTGAAAGTATACAATCGGATATGTTTTGACATATGAGTGCACCCTTGAAATCATCACAACCATCAATCAACTAACATATTCATCACTCCCAAGTTTCCTTGTATGGCTTTGTAATTAGTTTCTCCACTATCTCCCTCCCCCATCATCAGGCAAACACTGATCTGCTTTTAGTTACTATATGGTAGTTTGTGGCTCCCAAAATTTTGTACAAATTGAATGATTAGGATACATATCCTTATTTGTGTGGCTTCTTTCACACATCATGATTTTACTGAGATTCAGCTGTACTGTAGTATGTTTTTGTTGCTGCACAGTATTCCATTGCATGGATGTATTAGTTTGTTTATGCATTGGCCTGTTGATGGACATTGGGTTGTTACCAGTTTTTGCTACTATAAATAAAGATACTGTGAATGCTCAGGTACAATTCCTTCTATTGGCATATACTCTTATTTTTATTGGATAAATATCTAGAAGCAGAATAATGTAACAATATGTTAGGTATGTAGTTAGCATTTTAATGAAATTCTAAATTGTTTTGCAAAATGAGTATACAATTTTTTATTTCCACAAGCTATACAAGTGTTCTAGCTTCTTTATCCTTGCCAATATATGATAGGACCATTTTTTTGTTTTTGAAACTCAGTCTCACTGTGTTGCCCAGGGAACAGTGGCATGTTCTTGGCTCACCGAAACCTCTGCCTCCCGGGTTCAAGCGATTCTTGTGCGTCAGCCTGCCAAGTAGCTGGGATTACAGGTGTGCACCACCACACCTGGCTAAATTTTGTATTTTTATTACAGATGGGGTATCACCATGTTGACCAGGCTAGTCTGAAACTCCCAACCTCAGGTGTTCCACCCACCTCAGCCACCCAAAATTCTGGGATTACAGGCACAAGCCACCTCATTCAGCTGTGATATAGTCACTCTTTTTAATTTTAGTCATTTGAACGATTATGTAGTGGTATCTCGTTGTGGTTTTAATTTGCATTTTCCTGTTGACTAAGGATGTTGAGTGTTTTTTCATGTGTTTATTTGCCATTCATATACCTTCTTTGATAAAGGTACCATTTTTTAAATGAGGCCATTACTATTGAGACTTGAGAGTTCTTCATGTGTTCTAGATACAAGTACTTTATCAGATATATAGGAAATTGATTTTGCCTTCCTAGGGCATGTATTTTCATTTTTCTTAGCAGTATTTTTTGAAGAGCAGATACTTTTAATTTAGATGATTTCCAGTTTATCAGTTTCTTCTTTTATGGACCACACGTTTGGTTTTATATCATGTCTAACTCATGGACAGAAAAGTACCGTCAGATTTTTTTTTCAGAATATTTAATCTTTTTTGAGTTAATTTTTATGTAAGTTACAGAGTGTAGATTAAAGAGGATATTTTTCCATATAGTTTTTCAATTGTACAGTCTCATTTGTTGAACTCTGCCCTGTGTCCACTAAATTTTGTTTTCACCTTTGTCAAAATTCAGTCTCCTAGATATGTGTGGGTCTATTTTTGTAGTCTCTATTCTGCACCATTAATCTTTGTGTCTGTCTTTACCCCAGTACCAGTGTATTAACTGTTATAGTTTTATATGTATTGAAATCAGGTTGTATTAGTACTCCAGCGTTGTTCTTTTTCAAAGTTGCTCTGACTATTTTGGGTTCTTAGCCTTTTCATATGATTTTTGGATCTTTTTAAAATTTCTACAAAAACAAAGCTTGCATTCATTTTAAATGAGATAACATTTAATATGTAGATTAATTTAGGGATAATTTACATTTAACAGTATTGAATCTTTGAACTATGTTATCTCTTTCCATTTATGTAGGTCTTCTTTATCCCAGCATTCTTTTTGCAGTTTTCAGTGTGCAAATATTTTCCATTTTGTCAGATATGTCTAAGTATTTCATATTTTTGTGCTATTCTAAATTGTATTCTTTTAAAATTTCAACATCTGATTGCTCATTGGTAGAATATAGGCATATGAGTGAGTTTTGCACATTAATCTTGTATCTTGCAACTTTGCTAACTCAGTTATGTTAACTCTAGTAGCTTTTCTGATAGATTCTGTCAGATTTTGTATATAGAGGAGTATGTATTGTCTAAAATGACTGTGTGCCTTTCCAGTCTGAATGTCTTATTTATTTACTTACTTACTTATTTAGGTCTCATTACACTGGCTAGAACCTCCAGGATATGTTGACTAGAAGTAGTGAAAGCTAACGTTGTTGTCTTGTTGCTGATTTTTGAGCAAAAGTATTACTTTTTCTCTTAAGTATTCAGTTAGCCATAGTTTTTCATAGATGCCTTTTATTAGGTTAAGGGTGTGTTCCTTTCTGTTCCTAGTTGACTGAGAGGTTTTATTAGGAGTGAATGTTAGATTTTTTCAAATGCTTTCTCTTCATTTATTGAAAAGAACATACGCTTTTTCTTTTGAGTTTGTTAACAAGATGAATCACATTGACTGATTTTTAATTCATTAAGCTGGCCAGGTACGTTGGTTCATAGACAAACTATGAATTTCTGACATAGATCTCCTTGGTTATGATATATTATTCTTTTTATATATTGATTGGCTAAATTTGATGAAATTTTGGTTATAATTTTTGCATCTACATAAGGAATATTGTTTTGTAGTTTTTATTTTTCTTTAATATATCTGGTTTTTTTATCAGGACAGTGCTGGCCTCAGAATGAATTAGGAATTCGTATAGAATTGGTTTTATTTCTTTCTTAAGTTGCTTGATAAAAATCACCACTGAAGTCATCCAAGCCTACAGTTTTTCTTTGTGGAAAGATTTTTGACTAAAAGAATCAATAGGCATGATGCTATTCAGTCTGTTTATTTCTTCTTGAGTGAGCTTTGGCAGTTTGTATCTTTCAAGGAATTTGTGTATTTTATGAAAGTTTTCAAGTTTATTTACATAAAGTTGTTCATAATTCCTTTATTACCTTTTAGTATCTGCAGAATATTTTTTTTTGTTTTGTTTTGTTTTTTTTTTGAGACGGAGTTTCACTCTTGTTACCCAGGCTGGAATGCAATGGCGCGATCTTGGCTCACCGCAACCTCCGCCTCCTGGGTTCAGGCAATTCCCCTGCCTCAGCCTCCTGAGTCGCTGGGATTACAGGCACGCACCACCATGCCCAGCTAATTTTTTGTATTTTTAGTAGAGACGGGGTTTCACCATGTTGACCAGGATGGTCTCGATCTCTTGACCTCGTGATCCACCCGCTTCGGCCTCCCAAAGTGCTGGGATTACAGGCTTGAGCCACCGCGCCCGGCAATATTTTGTAATATGTAATGAGATCTCCGTTATTCTTAACATGGCTAATTTGTTTCTACTCTTTTTACCTAATTCATCTGGCTAGAAGTTTGTCAATTTTACTCATCTTTTCAAAGAGCCAGTTTTTGGTTTCAGTGTTTCTTGTTTTCATTTTCTGGTTCGATACCTGTTCAGAGCTTTATTATTTTATTTCTTCTCTTTACTTTGGTTTTTATTTCCCCTTCTTTTTCCATGTTCTTAAAATGAAAGTTTAGGTCATTGATTTGAGACTTTCTCTCATTTCAAAAGAATACATTTCCCCCAAGTACTCCTTTGGTGACATCCCACAAATTCTGATATGTTGTGTTATAATTTTCATTCAGTTCAAAATACTTCCAATTTCCCTTTTGATTTCTTTTTTGATTCATGGGTTATTTAGAAGCATTGTATAGTTCCAAGTATTTGAGGATTCTCTTTTGATATCTTTTTGTTACTGATTTCTAATCTGAAACTATTTTGGTTAGAGAACAAGCTTTGTATGACTTGAAGCCTTTTAAACGTGTTGAGACCTGTTTAATGGAACCAAATATTGTCGATCTTGGTCAACATTCCATGCGCACTTAAAAAGAATGTGTGTTTGCATGAATTACTGTATGAATTTAAAGTAAGTCAATTGGGCGTTAGCATTGTTTGGTGTACTTATTGTTTTGATTCTTGGAAAAGGGAGGAATTGAAAACTTCAACTATAATTGTGAGTTTTTCTTTTTCTTTCTTTTCTGAGACAGAGTCTCACTCTGTTGCCCAGGCTAGAGTGCAGTAGTGCAGCCTTTGCTCACTGCCACCTCTCCCTCCCTCCTCCAAGCAATTCCCCTGCCTCAGCTTCCCTCATAGCTGGGATTACAGGTGCACGCTATCATGCCTGGCTAATTTTTTTGTATATTTAGTAGAGACGGGGTTTCACCATATTGGCCAGACTGATCTCAAACTCCTGACCTCAGGCAGTCTGCCCGCCTTAGCCTCCTAAAGTGCTGGGATTACAGATGTGAGCCACTGCGCCTGGCCTTTTCTATTTTTTTAATGTAGATTAGGTTTCAAAATATATGACCTGCATATCAAATGCAGTGAATAGTGAAAGTGGAAAATTATTGTTACTAGCATTATTATAAAAGGCCTCATTAGGACACGTCTTTGGTTTGTCCTACAGCATGCATTATTTGGAACATCATCTTCATATGCAAAAGAAACATTTACCTAATTCTGTTGTTTTATCATTTGTCTAATTCATGTTATTGTTTTGCTTGGCAGCTTCTATGTTTTTGAAGCAGGCATTTGAGGGAGAATACCCCAAATTATTACGTCTTTATAATGACTTGTGGAAGCGTCTTCAACAATATGGTCAGAATATCCAAGGGAATTTTAATGCCAGTGGAACTACAGACCTCTATGTTGACCTACAACTCATGGAAGATGATGCACAAGATATATTCATACCAAAAAAGCCGGATTATGAGTACGTTTGTTTAATTTGACCTGTTAGTTGGCATCTTAAGGATTTTTATCTTTTATTTTTATTTTAAATTATAAATCAAGTATACACCAAGTCTCTAAATGTTTGTAATTTATTTGTATATCTTAAAAGAATTTGCAGTACTTTTAACTGAAGAAGTCAGTCTTCACCCTTAGTTGAGCACTTCTACTTAATGTTACGCTTTAAAATTGACTTCCTGCTGGAGTCAGTCTTTTAGCTAGAAGATGATCATGTTGTAGTCATTGTATTTTAATAGGTGTTATAATATACCTCTAATTACCTTAGATGTTATAATTATACCTGTATCATTTATTGAAGGACCACTGGCATAAATGTGACATAAAAGGAACTGGAGTATTCAGAAAATACAGGGGAGGTAAATCTTATGTTGGGATAGGTTCTTAGTCAATGTGTTAAGAAAAAGCGGAGTAGAGTCATCCGTTGGTATTTGTAGGGGATTGGATCCAAGACCCATTGGGAAGCTCAAGTTTCTTATGTAAATTGACATAATATTTGCATTTAACCTATGCATATCATCTCTCAGTTACCTATAAAACCTAATACAATGTAAATGTTATGTGTAGAGTTACTATACTATATTGCTTAGGGAATAAGAAAAAATATGCATAAATGTTTCATTACAGCCACAACCATTGTGGGCCTAACTAGGTTTACAATCCATGGTTGGTTTAATCTTTGGATATGGAATTTGCAGAAATGGAGGTCCAACTGTATAGTCAAAATTACCCCTGAAAATCTCTTAGGCCACCCATAAAGTATAGTAGCATAGCTATATTTAGGAGCCATACTGGAAACCAGGGTACCGTCTCAGCAAGTTTAGCCCACCCAGCTTTTCCTCCAAAATTGAAAGAGTATTTTAAACTTTCAATTTGAGCATTAGATCATGTGATTGGCTTTCTCACCTACCTTTAAACACTAGAAACATATTTATTGTGTCAAGGCCTGCTAAAGCAGTAGCAGTTCCTTATCACCTACCTTGTAAGAAAAATGTTGATAGACTCATGAGTGCTATTTAAATAGTTGTTTCTCTTTTAATTTTATTCCTAAATACATATAGTTAAATTTGTGTCCAGTATAGTTAGAAGTTCTGTCTAGCAGAATATAGTATATAGAAGTTCTGACTAGTGCTGGGCAGAGTGACACATGCTTGTAATCCCAGCTACTTGGGAGACTCTCTTGAGCCTAGGAGTTAGAGGCCAGTCCGGGCAACATAGTGAGACCCTGTCTTTCTTTTTTTTTAAAAAAGAGTAGCTTTGACTGGCAAAATAAATGGCCATTATAGTCTAGAATCATAGAAAGAGACCAGATTATCTTCTTAGTAAGTCTTTTATATAGGCAGATTCAGTTAGGCCTGATAGGGCAAAAGAGGACAGAACCTATATCTGTTGATCTTCAAAGATTTAATGATATATCACAGTTTTTCAAAGTATATATAAAATAGCAAATACAGTATAATTCTATTTCTGGCTTAGTTTTATTTTTAAATCTATATGCATGCACTAAAAAAGTTCTAGACATACGCAAAGCAAACAGTAACAGTAGTTGATTTCTAGGAGGTAGAATCCTCATTTTGAGTTTTCTGGTTTTATATAAAATGAATATATGTTACTTATGTTTAAAAAAAAAGAAGGAAGGAAGAGTAAGGGAAGGGAGAGGGAGGGGGTGGAAAGGGAAAAAGGAAGGGAAGAAGGAGGGGAGAAAAGAAAGAAAGCCAGGTGTGGTGGCTTATGCCTTTAATCCCAGCACTTTGGGAGTCCAAGGTGGGAAGATCACCTGAGGTCAGGAGTTCGAGACCAGTCTGGCCAAAATGGTGAAACATCGTCTCTACTAAAAATACAAAAAATTAGCCAGGTGTGGTGGCCCATGCCTGTTATCCCAGCTACTTGGGAGGCTGAGGCAACAGAACGGCTTGAACCTGGGAGGTGGAGGTTGCAGTGAACTGAGATCGTGCCACTGCCCTCCAGCCTGGGTGATAAAGCAAGACTCAATCTCAAAAAATAAAGTAAATTAAATGGAGGTAAAACAAATTAGAGTGAAAAAAAGTCATAGTGTTTTCACTAACAGGATATTATTGTCACTTTTTGGAGATGAATTCAGTAAAGTGGTTGGTAAGGAAAATGAGATATAAGAGCCATATTTCAAGATGTCAAAAAATAATGAGGGTACAAGGACACAAACACAAGGAAGAGTTGAGTTTTCATGGATGGAAGTAGCCAGTGGAGAGAAAGGAGATGGGAAATGTAAGAAAGAAAAGAGATAATGAATGGAACCAGGCCCTAGAGGAATCAGAAGAGAATCATGATAGCATGAATGCATGAATAGCAAGGGTTATCATTTTTCATGATTCTTTACTCGTGTCAAAATTTCAGTAGTGATAATTGCTATGAAGAAAGTAAAATAATACTATAGAGTTGCTTACTGCATAGAATGTCAGAGAAAGCTTCTATGAAGAGGTAATATTTGACCTGAGATCTAAATAGTGTGAAAGAGTCAACCATGGGAAATGTAGTGTAAGGTTTTTGCAGGCAGAACAAATTTAGAGGCCTTAAGAAAATTAAGGCTGGGTGCGGTAGCTCACACCTGTATCCAAGCACTTTGGGAGGCTGAGGCAGGTGGATCACTTGAGGTTAGGAGTTTGAGACTAGCCTGGCCAACATGATGAAATCCTGTCTCTACTTAAAAAAAACAAAAAAAAAAAACAAAAATTAGCTGGGCATGGTGGCACATGCCTATAATCCCAGTACTGAGGAGGCTGAGGCAGGAGAACTGCATGAACCCAGGAGGTGGAGGTTGCCGTGAGCCCAGATCGCGCCACTGCACTCCAGCCTGGGCTACAGAGCAAAATTCCATCTCAAAAAAGAAGAAGAAAGAAAGAAAGAAAGAAAAGAAAAGAAAATTCAGATGAGGAGGTTTGAAGAACAGAAAGAAGCCAGTGTAGCTGGAACGAAGAAGGGAAGTGTTTAAGATTGGATCAGAAAGGAAAGGAAATGTGAGATCATGTAGTGCTTTATAGGTGATGGTAAAGGGATTGGGAGTTTATCCTAATAAAGTGAGAAATCATTGATTTAGAGGAATGATGTGAACTGATAAACATTTTAAAATTAGCACTCTGACTACTATGTAGACAACTAAGGGAGGTCAGCATAGAGTTGGGGAAGTGAAAGATAGAAGCTATTTTGTTTATCCAGATAAGAGATGATAATGATTTGAACTGGGATGAGCAGATGAGGTGCTAATTTGGTCAGATTGAGTCAACATATATTTTGAAGCAGGATATATAGAGGGCAAGCCATGGATTTGAGAGGACAGGGGAATCAAGCATATGAACTAGTTGTTGGAAGATTGACTGGTTAAGATAGGAAGAGTTTTTTCAAAGCATTGTATTGAATTAAAATTTTTCTTTTGAAACTGGTGAACTGAAAATGCAAATAGAGTTGTTGAAAATGTAATTAAATATGAGTCAGGGCTAGAAATATGTATTTGGAAGTCATGTACTTTTTTTTTTTTTTTTTTTGAGATGGAGTCTTACTCTGTCACCCATGCTGGAGTGCAGTGGTTTGATCTCTGCTCATTGCAACCTCTGCCTCTGTGTCCTGGGTTCAAGTGATTCTCCTGTCTCAGCCTCCCAAGCAGCTGGGATTACAAGTGCACACCACCATGCCTGGCTAATTTTTGTATTTTTAGTAGAGACAAGGTTTTGCCATTTTGGCCAGGTTGAACACCTGACCTCAGGTGATCCGTCTGCCGCTGCCTCCCAAAGTGTTGGGATTACAGGCATGAGCCACACACCAGGTCATCATCATGTACACTTTTTAAATTGTGGAATTGGAAGAGATTACATAGGGAAGATGTATATGTATATAGAGAAAAGAGCCTTGATCCAAGAAAGGTACCAGCATTTATAGATTGGACAGTGGAGTGGCAGCCTACAAAGGAGACAAAGAAAAAAGGGTGAGATAGGAGGACAACTCAAAGCAGTTTGGAGGCCCAAAGAATGAGTTCATTTATGTTAGAGTCTGGAAATGGTCCTAAAAGCAAACAGCAAAATGAAGAAGCGTCTGTTCAAGAAAGTCTATGAAAATTTAGTTAGAAAAATGGGAGCCTGTGGTATTTGAGCCAAGATTGTTCCCTTCTTATCCCCTGTCAGCTTAGTGAAGTGGAGATTCTTCTCTAGACATCAGTAGTCAAGAACATAGGGGTCTCTCTCTACTAGCTCCCAGCTGGAAGGCTCTCTTCCTGGGAAGAGCAGGGCCTCAGCATTTCTCCTAATGCCCTCAGCAGACAGTTGCTGAGGTTAATTTTCCAGGTAAGTGAAGTCAGGAGTAGGGACCTCCCATATTGTGCCCAATTCCCATGCAGTGACTGGGTCCTTCAGCATGGCAGGCTTAAAGTAATGGGACCCCAAGGACCTTTGCCTGGGCTTTTGAAATAGTCATTCTTTGCCAGGAAATAAAAAGTGAAAGACTTCATCCTTCTACCAAGTGCTCACTTCCTAGAATGAAGTTGTTCCCAGAACAAACTGAAGGTTAGGCTGCTATTTCTCACTGCCCAATAACAAGATGCAGATGAACTGGGGAGGAGGAGAGTTTTTTATTTCTGTAACTAGTTGCAGGGATAAGGCCCGGAAAATAGCTCCATACCAACTCAAAATTACAAAGTTTTCCATAGTTTATATAACTTCTCTATGTCTACATGTAAGTGTGCATTTATCTAAAGACATAAGTGATTAACTTAATTTAATCTATAGCTAAGTTCTGAGTCTTGAAGACCTTCCTTTGGAGCCTGAGTAAATTTACCTAATCTAAATGGCTCCACGTGCTGGGGTGACTACTCTTATCTTGTCTCCTACTAAATCATGGACGTTTGGGAAGTTCCATCACCTATAAACTTGTTTGTGGAGGCCTGGAGAGTTTCTTCAGACCCCCAGTAAAACTTGTTTAATCCTAAAGGGGTCCTGTTAA